ACAAGTTCTTCAGAAATACGGAGATGAGTGTAGGTCCTGGCTGCAAAATTACTTGGGAAAGCCTCCTGGAAAACTAGGATGAGACCCTTAAGGAAAGGTAGAATTTAGAAAAGAGAGGAGAATGAAAAGCAGAAAAAGTAGAGAAGAAAGGCAAAGAGTTAAGGCAAAATAAATGTACTAGTTTGGCAAAAGCCTTCATTCAGGACAATCTAAGGGTAAAAGCCACAGCGCCAGGACGTGTTAACATGAAGCATCAAAATGAAGAACATGGATGATAATTTGGCCCCTTTTCCTCTAAAAGTAATTTATGAGAAGCACTAAACCATAACTACTCTTCTTTTGTAAAGCTTCAAAACATCTTTTCTATCAACCTCGAGAATACCTCTATATTTTACTATTCTGGAGTTGAATAGAGACTAAGTAAAGAAACAGTTTGTTTCACTGTTTCCTAAATCTAAGGACATTTACATTCTTGGATTCATCAAGTAAGATATTGATTATTTTCTTAATAAAAATGTTTCAATGATCAATATTTTAGGTATTCTTTAATACTATAGGTATATCCAGATGAGCTTAAAGCATCCTTTGACAGCACACTATTGAATGTTATAATTTCTGTATCGAAATATGTAAAGACATTCTCAAATAGTAACTAGGAAGATATACATTTACAAATATACACATCCTATATTTGATAAGGTAAAGGTAAACAGATGCTGTGACTCCTTCCAAACAAAAAGCCCACAAGACTAATGAAGAGAAGCAAGTGGCTCCCTGTAATATGAATGTGCAAAATTAAAGCATGATAAACTGATATCTACATAAATATTAAACCATTATTTTATACATTGTCCATGATCTTCTCAGATATGTCATGAGTGGTTCAATGAATGACTTTTTCTTCAAATGGAGAAAGTATTCAGAGGCTAAATTCCTAAAATGACACACACACACACCAGTCTTTATCTGTTTGACCATTGCCTCTAGAAAGTAAGAAATGATTTTGTGATAAACAGTCTTGTTTTTAAATAAGCATTTCTACACAAATCTTTAGAGTTGAGGCAGGAAAAAACAAACAAACAAACAAACTTACAGGTGCTGTTAGATTGACATTAACCAAAGTGTCTCTATCCAATTCTTCAGTTCTCTCACGCTGCAGCTATCTGTTTAATTTTACCTTAAATTTTTCTAAGGCCCTTTCCCCTCCTTTATTCATTTTGGTTAAGCTGAGCTCATCACCTTTTCCCCCTTGAGCCTGTTCTCTCGTGCCTTCTCTTGGTGGGCTTCTAAAGTTGCTGTGAAAGTGAAAGGCACTAAGTTGTGTCTGACTCTTTGCGACCCCTTGGACTGTACCATGGATTTCTCCAAGCCAGAATATTGTAGTGGGTAGGAGTTCCCTTCTCCAGAGGAGACAGAACTGGGGTTCCCTGAATTGCAGGCGGATTCTTCACCAGCTGAGCTACCAGGGAAGCCCTTAAAGTTGCTATGAGTTTTCCTAATTTCCCTTTTTGTCCCCAGCATTCAAACAGTTGTCTTGTCATGGATCCCTTGCCCTCCACGGGCTGTCTTGCACTTAAGTCACATACTGCATCCTGCAAGACTCATCTTCAGCTTTGAATCTCTCCAACTCCAGAATGTCCTACCTCACATTAGTTTTATTCAGGCATAGTTCACTCAGTGCACCTTCAGATGACTCATTCTAAAGCACATCTCTGACTATGTGAAACTCAAGCCCAGAACATTAACAGGCTCCATACTGATAAAACAAACATCATAGCTTGATCTTTAAAGCACTCAACAATCTGGTCTCCTTTCATATATTCTAAATTCTATTTCCCTTTTAACATTCCAAATTTCCTCTCAGATCTCGTATTCACTGTTCTCCAGACATATGTCATGTGCTCTTGCTCTGGGTTGATATTTTTCTATTTGAATTGTTCATTGCCTCCAACCTTAGATTACATCTTATCTCAAACATCTCTTATCTCACTGACTCTGAGGAAGGTGCTCCCTACCATAAACTCCTGTCTTACATTCTTTCACTTTTACGGGATCTGCTTACTTCATGAATTATAAGAGGAGGTGTAAGCAAAAGAAAAGGGACTATCAAGGAAAGTAACCACACAGTTATGGAGTGTCTATAAAAAATGTATCAAAATGCAAAATATTTTTATACTGTTTATGATCTTCTTTATAGCAATAATGAAGTATTACAGGAAATAATATAAATCAGTAACTCTGAACACAGCACTATGAGGGACACAAGGAACAATTTATTATGTTCCAGGCACTCATTTCATTTTCAAGAATCCAGTGAGGTTCATATTATTACGACTTACCTCACTTTCAGCTGAGAAAGCTGAGGAAAGAAATAAATCTTAGCTATGAAGTGTTAACTCTGGGATTGGAACCCCCACAATTTACCACCAGAGCTCAAATACTAGGCCTCTCTGCCTCTTGCTAAAAATTGCATCAGCGTAATTTACCTTGCCTTCCCCTCACCAATAACAACAAGGACCATACCATGATTTCATTTCAGGACATATGACTGTGTCGTTGAAATGTAAACAAACAAACAAACAGACAAAAAACTTTCACTTCTGTCTAGTTTTAAAAGAACTTTGAAGTGCATTCAATTATATGCAGCCAAATTTTGACGAGAGAATTAGATAAAACTTTTTCTTTGTCTTATGATATACATTAAATTCCTTAACATTCTTTATTTCCAAACATCTTAAAATTCTATAAAGATGAAGATATAGAATACTGAAGTGACATTCCATCAATAATATTTGACATCGAATATACAAAATGTTAATGGCAGCAGCAGAAACAGATTCAAAGAGAATGTTGACCAATATTCTGCAAGATAATTAAACATATGATTACAATTTATACAATTTAGGAAAAGACAAAATTTAGTCTTTCTCCAATTTTTGTCTTTTCTGAATCTATTTCCAGTAAGCCAAGGGAAGCTTTCCTTTTATTCTGTATGGGAAAGACACACAAATATTTCTCACATGCATTAATTCATATAAGCATAAAATGTACAATAAATGTGGCAGTACATCGGACATTAAATACTCAATTTTTATATACTGTTTTATACACACTATTTTTTATGAGATATTTTATAATTAAGGTGTAACTTAATAAAATGAAAAAGTCAAAAACAGCAATTGAAAAACAAAAACTACTTATCTATCAATGCTGTGATTTAGCCCAATTATTATTTTAGGTTCTAAAATACAGTGTTTAATAAACTATTTTATTGAGTCAGTCATTTTTAAAATTTTAATATTCTTATCATTGGACACAAGTTTTAAAAACCACCTCCCCTACATACTCTCTACATATAATTCACAACAAACCCTATAGATCACATAGGAGCTCAAGGAGTTGCATCAATAGCTTAAACACTGTCATTACAAATATATTTCATTTGTCTGAAATAGGTATTTTTTAAAGAGGGGAAAACATGATCTAACTCTTGTTTGCTCTTTAAAGTTTTATTGTTTTAGCATTTTATACAGGGAGTGAGCATTAGCATACTCAGGAGAATGGCTGAAAGTAAAAGGTCTCAAGCTACCCACTGCATGGCTGAGAGGATAAAGCACAGATATAAAAACTTTTGTCAGATTGCACACTTTCCTCATGTTAAGAGTACTGCTACTCTCAAGAGCATATATTCATGTTCTTTCTACTTCGAGTTTTATTACTTCTTTTGTATTATTTAATACATCTAAAGACACTTCCAAAAGACAAATTTTTCCATTTTGAAAAAGTAATGGTTTGGAACCTGATAAAATACATTAATGTTCACCGTGTGTTTTTCACAAAGGTGATAGAGTAAAAGTGCTATAAAGCAATTAGGCATACAATCTTAAAGACATTAATATGTCAAATAAAATGAGATGTCTAAAAAGTCAACAAAAATAATATCCTGTGAAAGGTCAAATGGAAATAGGCCCCAAGAAAGACCGTATTTCTCTTTCAGGCCTCTGACTAGATATTTAGTGAAAAAATAGAGAAAGAGAATATAAGAATGAGAGAAAGTACTGTTCTTACCTCAATAACTTGAAAATAGAAGTACATGATGTTTAACTCTCAGAAGTATGGACATTAAGTTACAATACATCCTAACTGAATGAATTGTTCAGGATTCAGATTCTAATTTTTCCTCCTGAACTCTAAGTTTTAACAGGGTCCATACTTTTTAGTAAACAAGAAACTGATATGCTTGGCTTACTGAATAAGGCCAGGCATTTTTTCAAGTGTCATACACATTTCTGAAATCCACAATACATCAATTTTTAATATATCTACTCTCTTAGCTCCATTAAAAAGATGGTAGGGGAAAGATTTTAGAGTAATTAATGATATAGTTAGCTGCTAAATATTAATAGGAATCGTAGTCTTGCATAAAATATAACATATAAACCTTGCCAATACAGACGCACCAGTAATTAAAGTTGAATATGTAATTACACTGATTTATAAGACAGGCAAAAAGTTACACTTTACTAGCTTCTATGTAAACTGTGGCTAACAGTTAAACTTTGCATTTTACGGTTTATAAAAACGGGCAATATCTTGACTACAGTTCATAAATGGTTTAGAGACCTGTAATAGTAGTAAAAATTATGACAACTTATTCCATCATGAATATTCTTATTGCACCATACAAACCAAACTGTGATAATGATCCATAAGATGAAGACTTATCTTAGACACTTCTATACACCCAAGAGAATGTTAGTAGCACTAAGAATTTGTAGAGGACTGCCAGTACAATCATTACAGGACATTGGAGAGAATCTAAAAGCTGTATTAAAACCAATTCTGATACACTTTTTTATATCATGAACCTGGTGAAGTTTAACTCCATTTAAATTTGTATTTTTTACTTATACACCATTCAAAACTTCAGAAGACTACTAAATTTTAGAAGCATGGGAGTATAGGTTCTTCCCCTTATGGAGTCTGTTAGCCCCACTTAC